TGAAGGTCCCAGCCCTAATATGTGGCAGAACCAGTGACACACTGACTTTCTCTGCTGCTTCCACAATGAGTGCTCAGTCTTTTACAGTTCTCAGGCACGTGCTAGCAGAATCTGCGTAAGTTCAGGGTATGTTTCCCTTACCACCATTCAGAACTTCAACACCATAGTTTATAAATAGCCAACTATGCTCAGTCTGTGACCATAAACTACAAATCCAGTAGTATCTTAAATTCCAAACTATATATTGAGTACTTTACCTCTTGGGATAAAAGTCTGCTTTGGAGCATTTTCACTGTTGCCCATAATTACCTGTGAAATCTGCAGTGCAGTATAATGTCAAGTTCATTTTCAGCCTTACTATTTAGCAGATGCCAGGCCTTAGAATGACATTTAACTTTGCTGAGCCTAAGCTTTCGCATCAGGACAATGGGTATAGTGACTATGTCTTGGGTTGGTTTAAGATTCAAATGTAACAGTACATACAGAGGACTTTGTACTACATATAAATGTCAGGATTCATTTGATATTCTTGAAGACATTCCACAGTAAATATAAAACAAAGACTTAAAAAGTCTTGAAAATAAAAAGCTATGGGGTAAATGTGAGAGCATTTTCGATAACATGTCATTGCTAGAGTTCTTGAAGTGCCTACTTTCTTTCTGCCAGGGACGACAGGGCTGTAACTATGATAACTATTTTTATGAGGAGCTATTGATGCATTATAATTTTATTTATTTAGTCTTAAAAGGGATAAAATATGCAAGATTAATTTCTAACATCAGTGCAAGTTTAATCAATTTTTTTTTGTGCAAAGTGAAACTAGTAAAGTTAAATTTTTAAAAAGTAGCACAAATTAAAAACTGTAATTCATGTGATGGTGAAGACTATACCCTGTCCCACTAAGAGGCATTTCTGTAGGCCTACAGATGACAAGTGTGACTAAAAGTCACACACATCTCTTTATTCCTAATTCTGACTATGAAAATTCATTTCTAGGAACCCACCTTCAACATATACTTCTAGTAATATAAAATAATGCATATACGATTTTATTATTTGGAATTCAGATTGTAATTTTGAAATAATGAGAAATAGCCTAAATGCCCATACATGGGAGAGTACTTAAATAAACTATAAAACACTTTCATAATTGAGTAAGATGCAGTTGTAAAAATGAATGGGGTAAGATCACTAGGAACATCCAAATCATTCAATTAAAGAATCAAAGTGCAAAAGATTTTATATG